ATGGCAGAAAAGCAACGAACCCCTTCCAGCCACGACAAGGGCACCCCTGCACCCCTGCATTGCTTGGCTAGGGTTCACATCAAAATCAACGCGCACGCACATTCAACGAAATGGTTTGAAAATCTCTTGCCAATTCTCTGCCTTCCAAGATCTGAGGAAACCCTGAAAAATGTGAACTAGCAAAACCCCATGCGCACGCAAGAGATGGTTAAAAAGAAGTCTATTAAGCTGTTGGCTTCCAGGCTTCTGTCCTTCATGCAGGTAGACATCAGCTGCGGGTGGCACGCACACCACGGTCCAGCCAGTCTGCATGGAGCACTAGTTGCTCATTTTCTCCCTCAAAACTCTCCTCCTGATTTTCCCTCCAGCTTTGATGGGGAACACGCATTTACCACGTGGTGAAACTGCACCAGCGCCTAGTGAAAGGGCTGTGGGAGCCAGCCCAGGGCGCGGGGTGGTCACTCACCCAGCCCTCCCGCCCACCTCCCTCCCCACGCAGGCAAGGGGCACGCAGAGCAAGGGCTCGCATCTTTTACACCACGCCACCAGCTGCTATGAAGCCCTCTTGTTAATGCATCATTATTTCACGCCAGACAAACGGTTCATTTGGCTCTCACCACCCGCTCCTCCATTAATCACCCCGCTCATTCGCAACCCAGCAGCTCTTTCGATGCCACTTAGGAGACAGCACGAATGCTGGAAGATGGATCCAGCAGCATTTACGTGCTGGCGGCAGCAGCTGGGAACTGAAAAACGTGCGGTGCCAAACGCTGCCAGGGCTTGCTGAGCCGACTGCCCATCCTCATCGGGGGGATGAGAGGCCCAGCAGCCATGCCCATGCTGAGCTATGGGGTGGGTGAGCATCGTGGCGGCTTGGAGACCTGGAGGAAGGCAGCTCCGCCACGTGCTCCCAGGGCATGTCCCTGGGGAAGAGAGGGGGCAGCGACCCCCGGAATGGGACGGCGCTCCCCAACCCGCAGGGAAACGCAGGGAACCCGCGCCGGCCGCCTCACCTGTTTCCATTGAAGGTTGTTTTATAATCCCCGGGCGAGCGCAACGCCTCCTCTGCGTAGACGGGCACGGGGGTCCGGACGCACTCGTGGGAGCACTGCAGCGTCTCGTTGTAGGCGGTGAAGATGTCGAGGGTGCTGGGCACGCGGGCGGGAGCGAAGTCGGTCAGGTTCTGGCAGCTCTCCTCCTGCTGGTCCAGCTTGCGCTGGTGGCTGTTGCGCCGCGGACGCCCGCTCTGCGCGCAGCTGGGGCGGCGGGGGAGAGAAGAAGGGACACGACGCACCGCGCGTCGCTGACGCTCGGCAGGGGAATGTGCATTACCGGCCGTTAATTATATATCACTCAATATTAGATTAGAATTCAGGCACTTTGGAAAGATCAGCCACAATCCAGCAGTCATTTGGCTTGCCTTTTTGTTTTGTAAGGATCAAATTTAAATTTGCAAGCTTTTTACCACCAGAGGAATAACTTAGCAAGTCATACGTTTGTACCTGCAGGAAATCAAAGCCTTTTTGTAAGTGCGGACAGAGGTGAGAACAATGAAGTTAAACCCTTTCCATTTGGGAGGCACCAAAAGGTTTTAACTTACTGGGATAAATAAGCTCAGAAACTGGTCTGACATGACAGACACGCTCCCCCTTGGCCGAGGGATGGCTGGCAGGGCAGCCCTGCTCCCCGGTGACTCAACCGACTCCGGAGGCTCCGACGGGATCTCGTGGCCGTGCAACACTTCTGCTTCAGTATGTGCAAAACAAGGAGAACGCCAGCTAGCAGGAACCTGCCCCAGATCAGGCTGTTCCTATTTAAGGGTCTAGACGCTGATTTAATTAAGATGTCACTTTTTTCTGAACAGGATTGACAGCACCTATCGTAATACTGGAGTTTCGGAAGATCGCAACTCCGAGGGCAGCGGGAGCTGGGGATGCTGGCGCTGCCTGCGGAGGGAGGTCTGCGGGGCCAGGAGCACGAGGCTCCGGCTGGGGCGGCAACATCTGCCAGCAGCCCGGCACAGCCTGCTCTGCACCGGCTGATGCAACTGAAAGAGGCAGCCACTAAAATAACCGTCAGCTCCCCCACGGCACGTTTGCAGAAGGAGTAACAACAAGAAGGATACTTGCATGGCGTGCAGCCATCGCTCACCCGTCCTGCCCGAGGGGGACAAGCGCCAGCCAAAGGACGGGGGTAGAGACCACGTCCCGTTTGGAGCCAGGACTAAGTGTGTGATCTGGGTCAGCTCTGCCATGGAGCCCGCAGCCAGCGCGTGGCTGGCCCTCGCCTGCACAAGCAGCGCAGAGGTAGCCCAACACGTGGTATGAAAAAACCAAAGCGGTTTGGCAAATGTTAGAGCTGAGCAAACTCATCGGGGTGCTGCTTTTCTGCCTGGGACATGTCTGACTGCTGACTGCGCTCGCCTGCAGGTATTCTCCGGTGATTTCCCAATTTTGCTTATTGTAAACAATTTCGATTCTACACTAATCACTGTATTTTTTTTTTTTTTCTCCCTTTTTGGCTTCAGCATTAGGTTACTCGAGCTGTTCTGCCAAGCTGTGGTCAGCCGGATCAATGGTACGTGCTGCTTATGACCATGACTAGAGAAAAATCCCAGAAGTGTTTTAGAAAGTATTTTCCATGCTCTTTCATTGAAATGCTGCTACGACTAGGGAAGTTTAGTAAACTAAAACCTGCCTGAGATACAAAACTGAGCATCACCGGCTGCACTCCCGATGCCTCCCCGCAGGCCCGCTCCCAGCAAAGCAAACTCATCTGCGGGGCAAGTAACTCCGTGCCTTCGGCCAGCTGCAACGCTCTGTTAAAGCTCTGCCGAGACTAAGACGCCTCTGTAGCCCTGCAAACAGGTTCTCCTCTAATCCCAGGGAGTAAGCAGGCTTCTTCATCAGCCTGGTTTTCTAATTTCCTCCTGGGCGCGGGAATCGATCTGCCGCAGCACCCGCGGAGAGCTCAGGTGGGCAGAGCGGGCAGGAGGCAGCTGGGTTGGAGGAGACCGCCGGAGGAGAGAACCGCCGCCGCAGAACACGGCAGCACCGCACGGCACTTCTCCCACCGGCCCAGAGCTGCAGCCATATCATTAAACCAGCAACACTGACCTCGAAGTAGGCCAGTTTCCCTGGGAAAATAGGTAAAGTCACGAGCGCCTGAAGCGAAAAGCTAACCTATTTTGCCATACGCACAGCCATGCCGAGAGAATAAATGGGAGCAAATTAAGCTGGAGGAGCGCATGAGCACCCTGGGGGATGGGGCATGCTTCAAACCGGTAGCATCTGAGGGGCTCAGGAGATGCCCTTCAGTCCCTGGAGGTGCAGGGAAGGTCAAAAATGCAGTTGTTGCTCACTGAGCCAGGCTGGTGATTTAAGGAGCAGCAGTAAAGCTGCTTTAGCAAGGCGGCAGAGGAGATGCCACCCAGCGCAGGGCAGGTCCCAGCACCCTTGCGGGGACACCCGCTGCGGCCGAACGCACGACTTTGACCTCACCAGGTGGCATCACGTTGCAGCGAGGCAATCCCGAAGCAGCGATGAGCATGTGTCCCACGTGAGACTCAGCCACCCAACCCTGGCCACGTGCTGGTCCCCAAAGCCACCCACCACACGGTGAGAGGCGGGGGAGCCGCAGGGGCACAGATGAGCCCAGGTGCTTCAACCTCCTTTGGAGGTTTCAGTATAAAAAAACCATTTTTTCCTGCAATGCCTTTCTGAAGCCATCCCGGTGGATGTCACGGGCTTTAGCACTCACAGCTGGAAAGGCACCCTCGTCCCCACCCTGTCCCTGTCCCCATGCCAGCCGCCCAAGCCAAAAAGACCCAGGAGGGACCTTACCAATTTTTTAAGACAAGAGTTGTTATCAGAGCGGCTATGACCATGATGAGGGACACGGTAATAGTGATTATCTGATGAACCGCCAGACCTGCGGAAAAAAGAAAGGAGAGAGAGTGGGGACGGGAGCCAAGAGGGATCCCAGGCAGTGGCGAGCAAAGCCCCCCGCCACCCCCCCCCCCCTCCTCCCGAGCCCGTCCCCAGCGTGGGGCCGTACGCAGCCCCCGGCAGCAGCGACGCAATCCTCTCTCCTGTCTTACATAAAATAATCTTTAAGCCAGGCTTCTCATTTCCTATCCTCTCAAGTATGTTCCTTGTCAGCCCGAATTAGGCACGAAGAACGGAAGAGATGTGAAGACGTATCCCCTCCGGGACGGAAAGGGAAACTTGAGCGCAGCCTTGCAGTGGGTGCAGGATTAACCAGAGATAATAATTGCTGCACTAACTGCTGCTCACTTAGAAGGTCGGACAGGCTCATTTTCTCCTAATTCACCTTACACAGGGTATAATTTTGGCTCGTGTATCATTCCTAATGAGCAGTTTGAAAACAAAAGCATCTCAATGTACAGTATGTTTGTGATTTTGTGCTGCTTTACAGTTGCAATTTCGTAATGAAATGATTTTCCTGGCTGCAGCCCAAGGATGTGCTATTTTTGCTATTTTTCACACACAGATGTTGCAGCTCCTGATGGATGGTATTTTTAATAAATAAATAAGTGTTAGCATGACAGGAAAACAAGCAGGTTTTTTTTTATATATATATATATATGTATATGCTCAACTACATACCTATGAATTGAAACAAAATCATGTTTTCTTTAGGAGCTTATGTTACAGCTACTGATTTGCCTGAAGTTCTTGAAAATCTCTCATTTAAGGCGGGCTGCCCACAGGCAAGGACAGTTTCTATGCAGGGGCTGCAGCTCGGCCGGAGCCGGGGATGCCCGCAGGGCTGCCCCGGCTGCAGACCTGGGAAGGAGGTGGGCAGTCAGCAGTGAACCGGCCGCAACAGCTCAGCTTCTCCAGCGCCGGCAGCCGTACGCACGCACATCCCTTCCCCGGCAAAAGCAGCGTGCACCAGGCACGCTCCCTCCTCGGAGGGTGGAAAACCCTCCCGGGAGAGACACGTCGGGGGCGACTTTGCGCAGAGCATCCCCACGCTCCCATGGGAATGCCGCCCAGGGCTCTCCCACGCTCCCATGGGAACGCCGCCCAGGGCTCTCCTATGCTCCTGAGCAGCAGATTTGGGGACACGCTGTGGCTCCCCAGCTTTTGGCACAGCGCACCCTGCTCTCATGGCAGGCTTGCGTGAGAGACTGAGCAGCAGCCCAAGCACCAGGCTGGGTAATTAGGCCAGATGAGATTTTAAACCATGGATCACGCTTGCTGCTCTGCTGCCTTCTCTCGAAGGACAAAAGTTTTGACTCCCTTGAAATTTGTTATCTCGTCTGCCCCTGCTCATCCCCATGCCCCAGGGGTTTCGGGTCCCTGCCCGCACACCCACGCTGCCAGCAAAACTCATCAAGGTAGAGAAGCTGCTCAAGCTCAGCCTGAGGCCCAGGGCACAGTTTCCACCTCCCAGGGTGTGCAGCGTTCGACGCCTCCCCAGCCCACGCACCTCCAAAGAACCCCTAATCCCTCAGAAACACGATGGAAAATGCTTCTGGCCTGGGGAAGGGTGGGAGAAAAGCTGTGCAAGGCTGCCGCAACCCACGAGGGCTCCCGAGGGGAGATGGAAACCGCTCAGTGCAGGCACACAAAGAGATGTAAGTCACCTTTCAAAGGCCACCGCCAGCACACAGCGCAGCAGCCTCCCAGCTTTCGGGAGCACAAGCACGCATCACACCACGGCTCGAGGAGCTACTCTGGCCTTCCTTAGCCCTGCCCATGGCCACGCGTGCCTCAGCACCACACCTCGCCACCTGAGCATCCTTGCTCAAGATCCACCATCAACCATCCTTGTCGGCGTTACTGTGCTGCCCACGCCACAGGACCCAGGCTGCCCCGGGAAGGAGGCGCGGATCCCCGCTTGGGATGCGGAGACCCATAAAATCCCAGATTTTGAGCAATGAGGCCAGCCAGCAGTGACACCTTTTTAGGAAGCACTGCAGACTTTGCTGCCAGGACACATCCCGGGCGTAAATCAAATGCTCAGAAATGTGAGTCTTGACAGTTTAGTATAATAAAACCAAGGTCACCTTCGGCGAGTCTGATTCACCAAAACACGCCCAGTGCCAAGCACTCGGGAAGCGATCGCTCGCGGGAAGGCTTTGCTCCCAGCCCCGGAGCTGGCATGCCAGCAGGGCGGGCAGCAGCCACTGACGGACGCCAGGCTGCCAGGGAGGGAGCTGCTCGGGAAGGACCTGTGTGAAGGGGAGGGGAGCGATGGCCTGGCACCCACCCTGGCAACCACAAAGCTCTGGCATCTGGCAGAGCAAAAGCACTCACCTCCAAAATAAAAGCAGAGGGGTTTCTGGAAGGAAGCACGCACCCGGCATCTTCTAGCACTTATTCCACTTTGCCAGCGGATACGCTATGGAGGAGATCTGGGAGAAGAGCTGGAGAAAAGAGCAGGGATCCTGACTGGTTTTAAGGACAGGACGTGGTCTGGAGCAGGAGGTGGTGGCAGATGTCAGCCATGCCATGGACATCGCTGGCGAAGGGGTTTCCTAGAGGCAGGACCTGGGAGAAATGACTTCCCGAAGGCCAATGCTTCCAAAATGCCAGCTCTGGATCCTGGCACGGTCCCAGCGCCAAGCCAGCAGAAGGCAAGAGCCCACCAAAACGCAGGGATGTGCAGAATGCTGCAAACCCCGCGTACTTTGGGGTTCTTCCTCTGCTCCCCAGGGCTGCAAGCCGCACACTCCCTCCCCAGGGAGCCATCAGACAGACAGAGGGACGGCCAGCCCCTGTGCCCTGGCGAAGCCAAGCGCAGTGGGATAGGATGCATCACGGTTTTCTCCCTCCACTCAAGCACCTATTTTGCAAATGACCCATTTCCTCCATTTACTCCCAATTACACTTCAATTGGTTCAAACAGCGCTGTGACAAGGCTCCTCTGAGAACGGCTGGCGCGAGCAGCTGCCAGAACAAAGAGCAGGTCAGGGGAAGCAAACGCGAGGGCTGGGGATAGTGGTGGCAGAGGATGGGAAGGACCCGGCACCCACCTCCTCCACCCTAGCTCCAGCTGTGTCCGACACCAGGGAGCAGTCGCTGGGCTTTGTGCCCTCGAGGAGGAGACCCAGCAGGGCCTCGCAGAACCCGTTCATGGCTCTGCAGGCTGGGGGGGGCTCCGAACCCAAAGCCAACACCCGTGGGGACACCGCTCCGGGTGGACAGTATCGCTCAGGAGCTGCCGAGCCCAGAGCTGCGTGGGCTGGCAGAGTCGTCCTCCCCCGAGCTGGGGAGATCGGCCACCTCCCACGAGCGACTCGGGACCCAGAGCCAAATTATTTGCTCCTCAGCTGCTCTGCCTCTGGCTTTCGTTTCCCAAGGGAACTCATGGGGAAAACGCCACAGGGCTTCCCACCTGTGCGGAAGGTGAGGCACAGAGAAAGACTTCTGGCCCCGCGCTTTGGGTCCCCGGAGGACAGTCGCGACAGGAGCTGTGTCCTGACAGAACAGAAGAGCGCAGCCAGCAGCTCCCAGCCCCCAGCTCACGCCCGCCCTGGTGCTTTGGTGCTCCCACGTGTGCCGGGTCAGGAGCGATGCCCACCCCGGCAGCAGCGCGGCGCAGCCGGCCTGGGTGCATCCTTCGCGGCAATCTTGGAGCAGCTCCCAGTGGGACACTGCTGAAAAAGATAAAAGGAAAGACTCTAAAAATAAAATAAAAACAGCCCAGTGCCCGATTCCTTTGAAAACAGAAGCAGCATCAGAAATGAGACCTTCTGCAAAGATCGGAGCCGAGGCAGAGGCGGCAGGGACACAGGAGAACCTAACGATGCAATTAATCCTTGCACTTACATAATGGGAAATGCGCAGGCAGAACAGATTGCAGGTGGCTGAGCACTGGGAAGGATGGCAGCTCTTCGGAGCAGGACACATGGATTTTAAGAAGGGCTGGATAATTTTAGACTCCATCACATACATAAGTTGCCATATGTACCGGCATAGGAGAAAGTTCCTTTGCATCGCATATTAATTCTGCACTAGAGCCCGAGGGGACTTCAAGGGGACGGGAAATGTTTTTCCCAACAGCATTAACCACGGCAGTGATGGAAAGAGGGAAAGGGACTGGATGGATAACTGGGATGATTCCCTGGGAAGCCCTATAGCAATACTCACTGCAATAAAGACTAATAGGTCTTTATTCTTACTTCACAAATATATCAGATCCTTTCCTCTGGGCCTTCAAAGAAATATACAGAACCATACAGAGCAAAATCGAACAGAAATATCCAATCTGCAGGAGAAGGTGTTAATGGATGGGGCATCCTGGGAGAGGGGAACATCCCATAAGGGACACCAGCCGGGAGGCGAGGCGAGATGAAAGAGAGAGATGGCTGCGAAGATGGAAGCATTATTTTAAACGTGGCCCTAGGAGCCCAATCTGTCTGGAGGAAAGGGACCTGGAGGATAAAATCAATAGCTCATAAAGCAAAATTACCCTCCTCCTCTGGTGCGAGAAGCCTTCTGGCGCGTGTGTAACTCACAGTGAAAGCCTGCGCCCCCAAAACGCAGGGCAGGGTGCAGGAAAGAACCTGGAAGCAGGAATTATGGTGGCTTGGTTTTGTTTGCTCAACTCCGTGGCAAACATTTCAAATGGCAAAGCTCCGATCCCAGCGAGTTACAGAACCCGGCGGTCATTTAACTACACGTTAATAATCAGTGAAGAAACAAGCTGCAGGAAGGGCAGGGGCTGGGGCGCGGGATCGGGGAGGGACACCCAGCGAGCTGCCACCCCGTCCGGCACTGGCCACGGCAGCTGTAAATGCCTCACCTCGGCGAGGGGGCCGCGAGCGGTTCCCTCTTACAAGGCTTTTACTAGGCAATTTGACGCAGTGACCATTTAACTCGAGGGTAATTACAGGAGAAGTATTTAATGGAATTGAAAGTGTGTCCAAACCCCTGCGCTTCTGCTAGTGCAGCACAATTTGATGTGTTGCCTGCCAGGAGGGAAAGCTCTTCAAAGACGCTCTTTGAACCCTTGGAAATGCTGAAATATTGCTGGGTTTTTCCACTCTCATGCCGTCCGAGTACACTCCGCTCTCGCCAGGGACTTCTCGTCCCCCCCGGTGGTGGGAGACCCAGCCTCAGCATCCCCGCGGGCAGCAGCCCCAGCCACGGCCGCTCGGGCAGCAGCCGTGCATCAACCTGCAAAATGCAACTCCAAATTCCCCACATTCCAGGAAAAAATCCAATCTTCTCAAAGCAAGCAAACGCCAGGGCTTTTTTTATATGTTATTTTAAAGACCATATATTTTCCACTGAGATGAAAGTGCTGAGTTTTGGCCTTTCTGGCCACCTTTTGAAACGGCTCCCGGACAGCTCTGCATCAACAGAATTAATTCCACGAGAAAATCCGTTCGAGACTAATGTCTTGCTACAGCAGAAGTGCACAATGGCAGCGAACAGGAGATATAAGCTCTTAATTAAAAACAAAGAGAACCTCTATCCCCCAAGGCCTTTATTTCAACAGCTCTGGTTAGGGAGACCGTATTTTTCATTTTCCCAATAAAAACAGCTACGAGCCGCAACTCTTTGAAGACCCTCGTCAAGGCCTCTAAGCTGCATAAAATTAAAAAAGGAAAAAACAGCTCCGTTTCATTTCGCAGAGCATAATCTTGAGTTACCATTAGTGGTAGAAAAACAACAGATGCTCCGTATACCTGCTAGACCCCAGCCAGAAGGGCTGCAATGAAGCACCTAAGCCCCTTCCCACACACGTGCTGCGTGGATTGCTTCCTTGCTTCTTTGTCCCCGCTCTGCCTCAGCCTTCCCACAACTCCCAATTTGAGTCGAAATGCCGAAAGAGGGTAAATCTCCTAATTAAGCCAGGGCCGGGTCTGCCGGCACGTGGCGGGGAGCAGAGAGGGCCCGTCTGGCATCGCAGGGGTGAGCCAGAGAGACACCTCCTTGATTGCAGCAGGATTTCCATGTGCACGGTCAGGCCCTAACGCCTCTCCCTCTCACTCCTCAATCAAGGTATTGCATCTAGCCAGGGAGAGACCATCCCAAACGGGCTCCCAGTAATGAGCATTGAAAGAAACTGGCTCCTGGGGGCGGCTGAAGAGCTTATAGAGATGGAAATGATGGAAACGCAGATGGAATCGGTGCCGTGGCAATTGTTCCTGGCCAAAATAAATAACCTTCTAAGCAATTTCCATGGTAAGCATCACAGGCCACGCAGAAGCCAACAACCGGTGCTGTCGCCACCGCCTCCGCCCTGTCCCACGCTCGGCGCAGCAGCGCATCGGGCAGCCGGTCACTCTGCGTCCCCCAGCCTGATGGACACACCAGTACCTGCTGCCCGCGACAGCCGTACCAGCGAAGGACTCCTCTCGGGTGGCTTAGCAACTGTCCACGGCGCTTGGCCAGGCTCCCTGCCTGTGTCCCAGCAGGCAAAATTCAGCTGGAAGAGCTGCACGAGTCCGGAACAGGGGACGGCTGGGCTGACGGGCTCCGTAGAGCCTCCCCGGTCTGCAGCAGCTGAGCATCGGGTACCGCATCTCCGGGGAGCGGAGTGGGCAATGTGAGATGGCAACCACTGGAGAGGATCCACTCCACGCCAGTCAATCAGGCACACGAGCCCGGCAGCTGGCCGGCTGCCTGCTCCGGGGGACTTCGGTGTCGGCGGCTGCCCCCGGAGGGGGGCTCTCCGCAGCGGGGGGTTCTCC